ACTGACTCTCAAGGTGGTACGTAGAAAAGACTAGATGGCATAAACACAAAAATATTATTAACATGGTTTTCTAATCCATTCATAAGAATCCATAATTTCAAAACTCACCCATCAATACTTTCTTTTTGTTTTATGCCATTAGGCATCTATTAATTACATCTATTAATTAAACTAATATAGCTATTGCCGTGTAGTGGCGGTCAAGAATATCCACTACCCCATATCCTCCCGTGGGTGTCGTAAAAGGCGACAAAGGGAAACAGGCAGGAGATGGGCAGCAGCATCTTCCTGATAATAGCCAAATTACAATAAAAAAACTGCGGTTGCCAACCCGCTCGCCAAGCGTGGCAACTATGGCAAATACCCCCCTATGAATGACAGTAACGAAGAAACGGCCCCCAGTCCCCGGCGGCCCCGCTATTCCTGGCTACGGTGGCGACCATGGTAACGGCGGGGCAGGGGGTGCTAAGAGTCTCCAGTGGAGGTTCGGTTGCCACCTTAGACGACTCGACCTGGCAACGTACAACGCACGCACCCTGAGGACTGACGAGAAGATCGTGGAGTTGGAAGAAGAGATAGACAAGTTGCGCTGGCATATTATAGGAATATCCGAAGTCCGAAGAGAGGGGGAGGACACGGTAATCCTCGAATCCGGCAACTTGCTCTATCACCGGGAGGGCGACCATCTATCCCAAGGAGGTGTCGGATTTATCGTCCACAAGTCTCTCGTTTACAACGTTGTAAAGATCGGGAGTGTGTCGACGAGGGTTGCGTACCTTATACTCAGAATCACCAAACGGTATTCGCTGAAGTTCATACAGGTTTACGCACCAACCTCGGCACACCTCGATGAGGAGGTGGAGGAAATGTATGAGGATATCTCTAGAGCCATGCATTCCTCCAAAACCCAATATACGGTGTTAATGGGAGACTTCAATGCAAAACTAGGCACAAGAGAGAACGGTGAGCTGAAAGTAGGGAAATTTGGAATAGGGCAACGGAACCCAAGGGGCCAGCAGCTGGCCGACTTCATGGAGAAAGAGGGACTCTTTATGATGAACTCTTTCTTCCAGAAGCGGCCCCACAGGAAGTGGACCTGGTCGAGCCCCGACGGTTCCACAAAAAATGAGATTGACTTCATTATGACGACCAGACGACAACTGTTCAGTGATTTCTCCGTGATCGCGAGGGTGAAAACTGGTAGCGATCACCGAATGGTTAGAGGCACACTGAACCTAAACGTTAAGTTGGAGAGGTCTCGTCTAATGAACTCAACGCTCCATCCCCCTCGTGCTATGTTTCAAAGTCCCGAAACCTTTCAGCTCGAGTTACAAAACCGTTTTCAGTACCTGGAAGACTGCAATGAAGTGGACGATATGAATGACAAGCTCGTGGAAACTGTCCATGCGGTCGGAGCTAAGTTCTGCAAGACCCGCCGCAGAAGAACACAAAAACTCTCCGATCACACTCTTAATCTCATGGCTGTTAGACGGGAGATGAAGCTACATTCTTCAACAGACTTGACAGCATACAGGCATCTGAACAGACAGATATTCAAATGCATGCGGCGGGACTTACGCAACTTCAATACAGCTCGTATTGAAGAAGCGATCGAGCGGAACCAAGGCTCCAAAGTCTGTCTTGTCAGAGATCTGTCTGCCAGAAAGAGCCAACTGTCAAAGCTGAAGACAGAATGTGGCAGCATCGTTTCCGGGACACCTGAGATTTTGAGTGAGATTGAGAGGTTCTATGGGCAGCTGTACACATCATCGTTGGAGCCACACGCAAGTGTGAGTAACGATCCAAGAGCGAGTCTCATCCGACACTATTCCGAAGATATCCCGGATGTCAGTCTAAACGAGATTAGGATGGCTCTCGAGCACCTTAAAAACGGTAAGGCCCCAGGCGAGGATGGAATTACAGCGGAGCTTCTGAAAGCGGGTGGAAGACCGGTACTTGAAGTCCTTCAGAAGCTCTTTAATTCCGTCCTCCATGGTGGCATTACACCGGAGGCGTGGAGCAGAAGTGCGGTGGTCTTGTTCTTCAAGAAAGGTGACAACGCTCTCTTGAAGAACTACAGACCGATTTCCCTTCTGAGCCGCGTCTACGTGCTGTTTTCGAGAGTCATTACGAATCGTCTCGCGCGCAGACTTGAACACTTCCAGCCTCCCGAACAAGCCGGTTTCCGAAAGGGCTTTAGCACCATAGACCACATACATACCCTTCGGCAAGTTGTACAGAAGTCCGAAGAGTACAATTTGCCACTATGTCTGGCGTATGTGGACTATGAGAAAGCCTTTGATTCCGTCGAAATTTGGGCGGTGCTGCACTCCCTTCAGCGGTGCCAAGTTGACTGTCGGTATATCGAAGTGTTGAAGTGCTTGTACAGTAGGGCTACGATGGCTATCCGAGTACAGAACCAGAGTACGAAACCTATCCAATTGCAGAGAGGTGTAAGACAGGGTGACGTCATATCCCCGAAACTCTTCACCGCTGCGTTGGAAGACGTTTTCAAGCTTCTGGACTGGAAAGGATACGGTATCAACATCAATGGCGAGTACATCACTCACCTTCGATTTGCCGACGATATAGTCCTTATGGCAGAATCGCTGGAGGACCTAAGCACTATGCTCAATGACCTCAATAGTGTTTCCCAACGGATAGGTCTTAAGATGAACATGGACAAAACAAAGATCATGTTTAATGTCCATGTCACACCTATGCCGGTAGTTGTTGGGAGCACTAAGCTCGAAGTTGTTGACGAGTATGTTTACCTGGGACAAATAGTCCGACTAGGTAAGTCCAACTTCGACCGAGAGGTCAATCGACGGATTCAACTCGGCTGGGCAGCGTTCGGGAAGCTACGACACATCTTCTCGTCAGACATACCTCAAAACCTTAAAACGAAATTGTACAACCAGTGCGTGTTGCCAGTGATGACTTACGGAACTGAGACGTGGTCCTTCTCTGCTGGCCATATGAGGAAGCTCAAGGTCGCTCAGCGAGCTATGGAGAGGGCTATGCTCGGAGTTTCTCTGCGTGATAAACTTAGGAATGAGGATATCCGCAGTAGAACTAGAGTGACCGACATAGCCCAACGGATTAGTAAGCTGAAGTGGCAGTGGACCGGCCATATAGCTCGAAGAACCGACAACCGATGGGGAAGAAAGGTTCTCGAGTGGCAGCCTCGTACCGCTAGGCGAAGTGTAGGGCGTCCGCCCACGAGATGGAGTGACGACCTGGTAAGACATGCAGGAAGTCGATGGATGCAGGTGGCTCAGGACCGTGCTTTGTGCCATTCTTTGGGGGAGGCCTATGTTCAGCAGTGGACTTGTGAAAGGCTGTAATGATGATGATGATGATGATGGCGCTATTACTCAAATAGGATCACTATCTCAAAATTAATTATAAATTAACTAATAGCAATAGACAGAAAAATTACGGATTCTACTGGAGCATTTAAGGAGCAATTAATTGTCATACAGTTTAATTTTATAAAGTACATATTTTATATTTTATAGCAAAAGTAAATTTTCGACACTTAAATGTTTTAAAAATTATTTATAAATAAATTAATAGCAATAGAGGTTAAGCAATTTCGGATTCTGCTGGAGCATTTAAGGAGCAATCAATTGGCGCACAGTTTTATTTAAAATATTGATATTTTATGTATTATAGCAAAATGAAATTTTCGATACTTAATTTTTTTTAAATTAATTATAAATTAAGTAATAACAATAGAGGTGGAGCAATTTCGGATTCTGCTGGAGCATTTAAGGAGCAATTAATTGACATACAGTTTAATTTTAAAAAGTAGATATTTTATATTTTATAGCAACATTAAATTTTCGATATTAAAATTATTTAAAAATTAATTTTAAATTAACTTATAACAATAGAGGTGGAGCAATTTCAGATTCTGCTGGAGCATTTAAGGAGCAATTAATTGGCATACGCTTTAATTTTAAAAAGTAGATATTTTATAGCAAAATTAAATTTTCGATACTAACATTTTTTTTAAATTAATTATAAATTAACTAATAACAATAGAGGTGGAGCAATTTCGGATTCTGCTGGAGCATTTATTAGGCAATTAATTGGCATACAGCTTAATTTTAAAAAGTAGATATTTTATATTTTATGGCAAAATTAAATTTTCGATACTTAAATTTCTTAAAAATTAATTTTAAATTAACTAATAACAATAGAGGTGGAGCAATTTCGGATTCTGCTGGAACATTTAAGGAGCAATTAATTGACATACAGTTTAATTTTAAAAAGTAGATATTTTATATTTTATAGCAACATTAAATTTTCGATATTAAAATTATTTAAAAATTAATTTTAAATTAACTTATAACAATAGAGGTGGAGCAATTTCGGATTCTGCTGGAGCATTTATGGAGCAATTAATTGGCATACAGTTTAGTTAAAAAAAAGAATGTTCTACGCTAACTTCCATGCGGTCGTTTAAACTACCTATCTTCGCCTTCAAATGCCATGGGTCTTTGACCTTCTAGTATTCATCAGGTGATATCTGTATGCATTTATATGATGTTATTTAATATTAAAACGAAAAAATGCTACCGCGACTAAATTATAAATAAAAATAAAAATAAAATAAAATAAACCTTTATTATTTTCTCCCACAAATTGTACAATTGCATATTTTATCTTTTAAAAACATATATATTTTTTATAAAAAAAAAAAAACAAAGAGGTACATAAATTTGTGGGAGACGGGAGTCCACACTAGGATACCCTGTGCTATGGATCTCCCGGCTCCCCATTTAGAATGATCAACTAGATGTTTCTTTTTTTTTATTATACGTATATAGCAGAGACTTTTTCCCGTTTGCGAGAGAGCATACGCGCAAGCAGTTAATCTTATTGTTTGTGTGTGTGTGTGTGTGTGTGTGTGTGTGTGTGTGTGTGTGTGTGTGTGTGTATGTGTGAGTGTGTGTATGTGTGTATGTGTGGGTTAACTCGTACGTGGTATGTTAAGATGCAATCTGCAGTAATTGTTCTGTTTTTTCGTAATCAAGTTTAAGCAGCCAATTTGAAATTTTCTTTTTACATTCAAATTTAGTTAGGTTAATGATACGGTGTAATTTGTTTGCTTTGTTATATAATCGACTACCTCTAAAACTGAAAAACTTTTGAGCAAAAAATGTTTTTACCGGAATAATTTCACAGACTTCATAATCTCTCCTCGTACCAGAGTTCCTTATATTATCCAACAAATCAATACAACTATGTTTTTTTAAGATTATTGATAATATGTAAATTTTTCGAACCGTTAACACATTGGCTTCTGCGTATAAGTTCGTAGTCGGATACGTCCTAGGTTTTTTCAAGGCAATTTTTAATATCATCCTTTGTACCTTTTCAACTTCCATCATTAATGTTTTACTAGAGCCTCCCCATACAGAAATGCCATAGGACAGGATAGATTTACCTAACGATTCATATACAGTTTTAATTAAATTCCAGTTTGCGATATGTCTTAAGTTTTTAAATATGTAGATAAGCTTTCTAATTTTTTGAACTAAATAGTTTATATGTTCTTTGAAAGTTAGATTCTTGCTTATTATTATGCCGAGGTACTTTATGTTATTTGTATTTTCAATATCAGGACATTTACAATTAGAAATAGAGGTCATATTACATGAATGTGCTATGATTTTAAATTTATTTGTAATACAGGTTGAATTTCGGATGGAAAACATTACATATTTGGTTTTATCGGTATTTAAAGTGAGACTATTTAGAGCAAGCCAGTGACACACTATATTGAAACCATCCTGTGCAATTTTGAAAACTTCTTCCCAAGAGTCACCGTAGAACGAGAGGGTTGTGTCGTCAGCATATGAGATTATTTTACAATTTGGGATGTTTAATTGACAAAGATCGTTTATGTAGCAAAGGAAGAGAGTTGGATCGATAATACTTCCTTGTGGTACTCCGTAATTGATTGGTCTTTCATCACTAAAAATCTCTCCTATCCTAACTCGTTGTGAGCGATTTTGTAGGTAATCTCTAAAAAGTTGTAATTGTACATTTCTAATACCCATTTTTTCAAGTTTCTCGATCAGTTTAGAAGATGAAATAGTGTCAAAAGCTTTTTGCAGATCAATAAAGATTGTGATACATTTTTTATTGGAATCTAATTTTTGCACAATAAATTCTGTAAAAATATGTATAGCGTCCGTAGTTGATTTACTTCTTCGAAAACCGAATTGACCATTTGAGAGAATTTCATTATCTTCTAAATATTTTATAAGTCTAGTGTTTATTATTCTTTCAAGGAGCTTAGACATAGACGGGAGTAACGATATTGGACGATAGTTAGTGATGATGTCACGCTTTCCGTTTTTAAAAACTGGTATTGTGATGGACCTTTTTAAAACTGTTGGAAAAATAACTTCTTCTAGACACCTATTAAAGCTATGATTAAGTGGGGGGATTATAAATTCTTTAAGACATTTTAAAATTTTTGGCGTAATACCATCCCAGCCAGCACCACAATCAGTCTTGAGATTAAGAATGAGACGTTCGAGTTCTTCTACACTTGTTTTAAGTAGGACAAAAGACTTACTTTTGACTGTTACAGGATTTACAGTGGTAGGAAGAGGCGGAAGATCTATTTTAAGTTTATTTGACAAGTTAGAGCCTATATTTGCAAAAAAAGTGTTTATAAAGTTGACGGAACTAAGAGGGTTATTTTCAATCTTGAGAAGTTCAGCTGGTAGCTCTTTTGGTTTATTTAAGTTATTTATATTTTTAACAACATTCCAAATTTTTTTATTATCATTTCCAGCAGCTTTCAATTCATTTCTTTCATAATGATTCTTTTGTTTTTTTAATATATCATTACAAAAGTTTCTGTATCGCTTATAAGTACATTTTAAAATTTCATTTAGAGGATCTTTATTTAATTTATAATGCATTCTATCTCTGGTTCTTATACATCTTAATAAACCAACAGTTATCCAGGGTTTTATTGTGATTTTGCTTCGGGGTATTCTAATTTTAATTGAATTATTAACAATTATTTTTGTATGTGTTCAATAATAAAGAGTATAGATTTATTTGGATTAAGTTCATTATTATATATCTCATTAAAATTTAGGTTTTTACAATCTTCATATAGGTTATCGAAATTTAATTTATTAATGAAATTATTTTTATTGTTAATATTTTGTTTTATGGATTTAATGCAGAAAAGAACCGGTTCGTGGTCAGTAATGGAAGTTAATAAAATAAAAGTATATGTGGGATATTTCGTCTTTAGAATTACATGGTCAAGGCAACTATTACCCCTAGTGGGATGATAATATGCCGGTATCATTCCATAGAAAGCCAGAACTTCTAGGTAATTGGATGACAGCGAATTAAGTTCAGCAATGTTAATATTTAAATCTCCCATCAAGAAAGTATTTTTAAAAGAAGATAGTTCAGTTAAAGTGTTTTGTAACGATAGAAGGAATTTATCCAGCGATAGGTAGCTAGGGGATCTATATATAGCAATTATAGCTGTCTCGTTATTAATTTTTATTAATAGGGAGTTCGCTTCAGATATATTAGGTTCCTCTACTTCAAATTTTAATTCTTTCTTTATCATAACGACAACACCTTCGTTTTGATTATTGTTCATCATAGTTTTGAAGGAGATGTATCCTGGGATAACCGGAAGGTTAATGACACAAGATAGCCAACATTCCGAAAGGATTAAAATATCACAGTCAAATTTCATCCTATGTAGTAACACGATTAAGCTGTTAAAGTTTTTGTTTAAGCTTCGTATGTTTAACTGTAATATTTTTAAGTATAAGGATGGATGCAATACAAAATTTATACATGATTCAGGTTCGCAGATTTGAAGATCTGTTTGTTGGAAGTTGTCTAAATTATTTATAATTGTTATATATTTTTTTAGTTGTGTATGTTTAAAGAAATTTATGTAGGATACGTCTTTTCATTTAATGTGATAACTTTATCGTCACTCGGTATATACCGCTCATCCAACAAAACAATGACTTAATTACGTTTTCGACATTTTTCAAGAGAAGGGTTTCAATGTTTGAAATCGAAAATATAAATGTATTTTTAATAATTTTGATTATATCTTTAAATATTATTGTATGTTAGCTTATTACCAACACCTATCCATAATAACTATGTAAACTTTAGAAAATTTATTTAAAATGTCAAATAAAAAAATCTCACATACACTTATGCCATTTTTTTCGAACCGGTTCAAAAAAATAAAAAGATACAATTATGACATATAGGCATGGTTTGGAGATGAGAATAAAAACAAGAATTTAAACAACGACAATAACATTGATCATGGTCTTAATTAAAACGATACAGTAAATCTTTAAAAGAAACAAAATAGTTAATTACTATGAATTAAATTGACGTAATCAGAAATGGTGAGAGCTACACTGAACCTAGGCGTTAAGTTGGAGAGGTGTCGCCTAATAAAGTCAACGCTCCGTCCCCCTTGCGTTCTAATCCAGAGCCCTGAAAACTTTTAGCTCGAGTTATAAAATCGTTTTAGTGGCTAAAAGACTGCAATGAAGTGGACGATATGAATGAAACTGTCCATGCAGTTGGAGCTAAGTTCTACAAGACGTCGCATAAGAACACAAAAATTCTCCGATCACACTCTTAATCTCATGGCTGTTAGATGGGAAATGAAGCTGCAGTCTTCAGCAGATTTGACAGCATACAGGCAACTGCATAGACAGATCTCCAAGTGCATGCGGCGGGACTTACGCAACTTTAATACACCTTATATCGAAGAAGTAGATCGAGCCGAAACGAGTGGAACTAGGTCTTCAGTGTATGCCAGAGAACTGTCTGCCAAAAAGAGCCAACTGTCGAAGCTGAAAACCGAATGTGGCAGCATCGTTTCCGGGATACCTGAGATTTTGAGTGAGATTGAGAGGTTCTATGGGCAGCTACACACGTAAATACTCGTTGGAGCCACACGCAAGTGTGAGTAACTATCCAAGAGCAAGTCTTATCTGACACTGTTCCGATGATGTCCCAGACGTCAGTCCGAGCGAGATTAGAATGGCTCTCCAGCAGATTTAAAACGCCAAGTCCCCGGACGAGAAAATAACTGCAGCGGAGCTTCTGAGAATGGGTGGCAAACCGGTACTTGAAGTCCTGCAGAAGATCTTTAATTCCTCCATGGTGGGACTACTCCGGAGGCGTGGAGCAGAAGTGCGGTGGTCTTGTTCTTCAAGAAAGGCAACAATGCTCTCTTGAAGAACTACAGACCGATTTCCCTTCTGAGCCGCGTCTATGTGCTGTTTTCGAGAGACATTACGAATCGTCTCGCAAGCGGACTCGACGACTTCAAATCTCCCAAACAAGCCAGTTTCCGAAAAGGCTTTAGCACCATAGACCACATACATACATACCCTTCGGGAAATTGTACAGAAAACCGAAAAGTACAATCGACCACTTTGTCTTGCGTATGTGGACTATGCCCGTCGAAAGTTGGGCGGTGTTACAATTCTTTCAGCAGTGCCAAGATGACTGTCGGTATATCGAAGTGCTGAAGTGTTTGTACAGTAAGGTTACGTAGCTATCAGAGTACAGAACCAGAGTACGAAACTTAGCCAACTGCAGAGAGGTGTAAGACAGGGTGACGTAATTTCCCCGAAACTCTTCACTGCTCCATTGGAAGACGCTTTCAAGCTACTGGACTGTAAAGGATACGACATTAACAACAATGGCAAGTACATCACTCAGCTTCGATCTGCCGACAGTATAGTCCTTATTGCAGAATCACTGGAGGAGCTAAACACTATGCTCAATGAACTCAGTAGGACAAAACAAAAGTCATATGTAAAGTCCATGTCACACCTATGCCGGTAGTTGCTAGGAGCACTAAGTTGTTGACGAGTATGTTTACCTGGAATAAATAGTTCGACTAGGTAAGTCCAACTTTGACTGAGAGGTATAGGTATCGACGGATTCAACTCGGCTGGGCAGCGTTCAGGAGATTACGACACATCATGTCGTCAGGCACACTTCAAAACCTCAAAACAAGATTGTTAAACCAGTGCCTGGGTCTTTAATCGCTGACCGCTCAGCGAGCTACAGAGGGTTTCTCTGCGAGATAGATTTAAAAACGAGAATGTGTGTAGTAGAATCAGAGTATCAGACATAGCCCAATGGATTAGTAAGTTTAAGTAGTAATGGGCGGCCATATAGCTTGAAACCCACAACCGATGGAGAAGAAAAGTTCTCAAGTGGCAGCGTCGTACCGGCAGGCGAAATATAGGGCGTCCCCCCACTCGATAGAGTGATGAGTCTAAACTTCTCAAACTCTCTTACTTAGACATCAAAAACAGCCTTTTTTGTTTCAAACCTTTAATTCATACAGCCACGCTTACCACCTTTTTTTACACGGGGAAATGCCTACGCATACCCGCCTCGCGAGGGCAAGGACGGGTTATGTCGGACTCGCACTGACTAAAACCCCATGGTGTTCCACCTTCGCCGCATATTGGCAGGGCCACGGAAACGCTTTCGCACACATCCGCAGCCACACCAGCGCCGGCCGCCCCATAGCAGCCGATTCTCGGGGGCGGACTTCTCCTCCCCATTCTCCTTCTCAGGCAAGGCGCACCAGGAACACAAGGTACACCCCCCTCCACGGCTTCCAACTCCACCTGCGTATCGGACACCTCCGAGTCCGATACGCGGAGGCCATGGGGTCAGGAAAATCGAGCGCTTAGTAGCACCCGCTTTCTCGACCCCAGCGGCGGATCTGATCTCTGGTTCCGCCGCCAACCAAGTTTCGGCCGCGGAGGGTAGGGAGATCGGCGCCTCGCTATACCGACACTCCTCTCTCCTCGCGGCCCCACCACCACCGCATCAACTGTACGGCCCCGTCAGATTCTCGGAGGAAAGCGCGAGTGGCGCATCGCCATACCTACACCCATCTTCCCTCGCGACTCCACCTTGGCTGCAGCGGTATGTAGGGGGAGGACAACCATCTCGCCGAAGCCCACCAACATACATCCAAAGTGGGCTTGTCAAGCTCACTCGGAGTGGCTACCTCGGGCCAGCCATGTGGGTACCTCTTAGTTCACCGTGGGGACTAAGCCACGACAAGCCAGGAACCCATCTACATTTATATAACCTTAATTACTTTAAAGACACTTTTTAAAACAATAATGTACCAAATTTGAAATTAACAAATGTAACGTGAAGGAAGGGAAAATCTTCCTTTGTGTGACAAAAAAATTGTATGATGTAAAACTTAATTCCCATTGTGTTTAAATGTTAAATATGTGACACCAAAAAAAAACATAAGCCAAACTAGCCTAACCAATCTTTTTATTTCTCTAAAATAGAAACTTTTTTATTCAATATAGATTATAAATAATACTTATTGAAAGTCACTCTTTTGTTTGATTACCACTGGTTCGGAAAAAACCTCTGTTCTGAGAAGAACCAGCAAGAAATCCAGCGGGACTTTTTTTTAAATAACAGCTTACAATCATGATGTTACACAAATTAACAACACAAAAAATTAGAAATAGCTTGGTAGCGGTCACCTCATTCCCAGGGATTATTATCATCCACAAATTCCTCAACATTATAATAACCCCTTTTTATACAAACTTAGTTTAATAAAGTTTTTGAACTTTGAGCAGGTCAAATTTTGTATATTTTCTGGAATTTTGTTGTAAAAGCCTATACATCGCCCCAAGAATGAATTACTGACTCGATGGAGTCGAGTAACTGGTACTACTAGCTTGTGTCTGTTCCTAGTATTTACAGAATGAATATCACTTATTTTTGTAAAACTACTTTTAATTTTGTGTACGTACATTACATTTTCATAAATGTATTGAGAGGCCAAAGTTAATATATTAATTTCCTTAAATTTTTGTCGCAGCGACTCTTTAGGCTTTAA